AGACTTCATTCATATGATTGCGGCAAGTGCCGCAAAGACCATTTCAATCGAAGCGATGGTGAAAGCTCCATCGTCCAAAGACTGGAGGCAGTGTTTTTCCGATCGCCGGTCGCAACCACTGGATGACGCGCACACACTCTGACATTGGTTTTCAGTTAACTCAATTTCCCGAGAAAAGGAATGGCTCAACGGCAAGGTGGAGAGTCCGCAAATGTGTAGATGTTTTAACAAAAGAGTTTGTCACGTGACTGCGGTGGCGTGCTGCAAAACCCTCGGCGGCTGCAAGTGGCTGAAGGAAACTTGTTTTGGGGAAGTAGCATGAAGGACAATGAACCAAGGCGTGGAAAGTGGCGTGACAGCTTGAAAACAGTTCTCGTTGCAGGTGCAGGAATGTGCGTCCACATTCCCTTCCGGCTGAATCCCATAGCTTCGTTGGCATGGCTAGGGAAGCAGCTGCCATGCCCCCTGCATGTGAAACCGTGGTGAAAGCGGTGGTGGAGGGGAACCCTTGGCCCAGGGGTTGACACACACAGATCGCCGTAATCGGCGCTTTTTCAAAAACCGGCTGCAAGCATTTGGGTGAGCTTGAGAACCTCATAGAATCGCCAAGTTGTATTGTGAGATCAGTGATGGACATCGGATCAGCTGCCATGCTGGTGTTGCGCCGTTCTTGACTCAGTTGCTGCTCACACGTGGCCCAAAACCAGTTTGCAGCAATTTACTGTACATGTTTCTACGTTTTCTTCTTCATCATTCCAGGACAGCAGTGTCATACTTGACGGAAAGAAAACAAGCCACAGCTTAATTAAGGCGCACAACGCTGCTTCCAGACCCACCGAAACTGCATGACTCACATGTAAGAATGTGACACATCTAGAAAGAGCTTGGAAAAAAGGTCTGAACCTTTCTCCACCTGCTTCTAGCCATGGAGCAGTCGCCCCTCATTGGCGAGAGCTTGTACGCTCCCAGCTGGCCAGTGGTGCAGCCACCCGAACCCTCCTTCTACTCCTTGGGATGTTGCCAGACCTGCTTGCGCATCCCTGCAGCCTTCGGCTGTGGAGGGTGTCGCATTTGTTGCTATTCCATCTTGGCAGTGCTGCTCTTCGCATTGTTGTTGGGTTTCTATCCCATTGTCGTGGCCTTAGTGCTGGTGCTCCTGCTCTTGCTGGGGCTGCCCATCAGCTATGCCATGATCTACCTCCTCTTCCTGAACCCACCACCCGAATTGGCTTGGAAGATTGCGAAACTCACTCAGCTGCTCCGGCTCGCCTTCTACCAGTTCCCCAAACCCGCGGAGTGGAGAGTGGATCAATTGGCGCCCAAGGGACCCTTAGAGACCGGGCTCTCGCAATATGCCATTGCGATCCGAGTGCCCTTCCTGCAGCAGGATGAGCTCTATGCTGGTGGACTCTTTGAACGATTCCTGCGTAGCAGCCCATCGACGGAGTTTGTGACCTCCAGCGTCTTCAGCACGCTGCCTCAGATGGAGCTTAAGGACATGTCCCTCTTCAAGGAGGGAGAGAATCCGGTGGAATATGTCATGGGTGTGGTGCAAGACATCTATCCGCGCATCAACCAAGAGTGGACAGACAAGACCTCAGACCGTGCTTTGACTCATTTGTGCCTACATGGCCTCGGTGCTCATCGTTTAGAACGAGCCGACAGCACACACCCAGGCTGCAGCTATGTGGTGCGAACCAATCAGCTCTCCACACTGCCGGTGCGCGAGGGATATGAGACATATGGCACCTGGTCCCCAGCGATGATTTCTGTTTTGGATCATGTTTTATTGTTTGAAAAGAAGGACATCACAAGGTCTAGATAATGATTTACATTTAAACATGTTCCTTTCCTTCAAGGATCCCTATGCCACGTTCCCCGATCAGCCAAGGTAATGATGCCTACTTCGACAAGGATTTTCGTGTGGTGAAGATTGTGCGGTTTGAGAACGGAGAAGTTTGGGAGGACCAGAAGATCACGACCTTCCTTCCGGATGGATCCAGGGACTGGGAGTATGCGAAGTTTTGCTTTCGATGCTCCCTCTTCACCTTAGTGACGCTCGTCGACCATTTGTACGGAACCCATTTGCAGCTGGCGAATGTGGGGGTGCAAGCCATGAGGGAGCAGTTGTCCGTGGACCATCCGGTCCGGCGTTTTTTGGTGCCTTTCTCCTATGGCAGTATCAACATTAATGACTTGGCTCGAACAACGTTGGTGACCCGAGACTCCTGGTTGCCTCGCGCAGTGGCGCTGGACGATGAAGGGTTGCAGTTGGCCTGGGCTTCGGCTTTCCAGATCTTGCCGCCGGACTACATCACCAACGAGAGTGACCCCATCAAGATGCTGGAGTCGCTTTTTGATCGAGAAGCACAAATCGAAAAGAAGCGCAGTGAAGGCCTTTTCACGGCCTACTACAAACAAGCTCTACAGTACTGGAAGATCTTGCATGGATTCGTGTCTTCTTACCTGGACCACTACTACGGCACGGGTGCGAAGGGGGACTTGGCCATGGCAGCAGATCAAGAGTTGAAGCTCTTCATTCTACAGGCCATCAACTTGGTCCAAACCCTTGCAAGCCCCCTGACTGGTCACCGCGTGAATGAGCTGTGGCCTCATCTGAGTGACGCGCGAAAGCGCAGGATCATGACGAACTTCATCACTCGCTTTTGTGAGCTATCTACTGCAGGCCATGAACAGGTGGGTGATGTGCAAGCCTATGCCCAAGATCCCTCGTTTTGCTCCTTTTCTTGGCCCAAAAGCCTACGAAGGGAAGGGGCTCTTGTGGCCCCCAAAGAGGTGGGTTTGGGAGTCGCCTTGATCATGGCCTTGACCAGTACTCCCATGCCAAGGCTCCTGGTAAGGGAACCCACGGATGATTGGTCGCATCTTTTTCCGGGGGCATCTGAAGCGGATCGATCCAAGCTCAACTCGATCTTCGAACGCTTCCAATCAGAGCTCCAGACCTTCTCCAAGGAGTGTGACTAGCAAGCTGTTTCATGTGTTTTTCTATTGGGGGGCGTAGTGAATAATTACTGTATATATATTTATGTATATTATATTATATAGTTATCCCAATTGAGTATCTACATGTTTTTGGGCTGGTGTAAATCATCAGTATTTAGTCGGTGGTGTCAATCAGATTCTCTTCTTTCCAAATAATTCCAAGGACTCATCATGGATCATAGTTTTCATATTATATGGAAGCACCAAACGAGTCAAACGAGGTGATGACTACAATGCTGAAGCGAAGAACCGCGCCTTTCCAAATGACTTTGGACTTTGGGTCTTCAATCCCAAGTACCTGGAGACGAGCGTGTCGATTTGAATCTTTTGAATTAACCTTTTGACCTTCGGCAGCCTGCTGGACAGGGGGCGCAGTACTCGACCCCTTCTTTTGGGAACTCGGCAGAAGGACGAGTTTCTGCATGGAATCGCAAAAGATGGCTGTGCTGCAGGGAGCTTTGAAGACACTTATAGACATGGTTCCAATGGGATGATGTTCAGGTGAATCCATTCTGTACTGGGCACCCAAGCCAATTGATTGATGTCGCCCCCCGTCTTCGGGACGGGCGTCGCTTGGAGAAGACGTCCTGTGTGGCGATTCCGGTCAGCGGAATTCGTGGATTTGAGTGGAACGTTTGACCATGGTGGATTCTGCTTCTTGCTCCTAGTAGCGATGCCAGGAGCCCCGTTCGTAGCTTGTTTGTCGATATGTCTCCCTTCCATACGTTTGTGTCTTCAAGAAGCTACTAGTAACAAGGTGCCTGAGAGCCTCCAGGGAGCCGCCGGGGACTCCCTGCACCTGGTCCGACCCGACCGACTTGAAGACGCTCGGATCCCAGGGGAAGACGCGTTGGTTTCGAGATGTTTCTTTCCACTTCGTTCAGACGCGACTGGCGACTCACGTTTGCGTGACCAGAGAAATTCCGGTGAACATACTCTTACAATCATTGGACGTGAAGCCGGTTCTGTAAAGCCGTCTTCCAGGATCAGAAGTCCACTTCGAGCGAAAACAGTCTCACCTTGAGGTTCACAGTGCCACGACTTCCAGCTGGTGCCTCCACCGTGTTCACATCGTTTTGAACGGGGCGAACGGCGACTTTTTGCCACTCACGACCACATGTAGATTCCCTGGGCAGGCGAAGCCAGTGCCAATGTCTATGGGTGTGGTTTGATGTGACTCTAAACTTTTGCGTTGGCATTCCAGATTTCTCAGATGACTTGCTTTTGCAGGTTCCTCACCCATGACAAGGGTTTTTACTGGCTCAGCAAGCCTCAATGTACAGGTGGAAGCGATGATGCTTCCGGCACTTGGAAAACATGATATGCAATCCACCAACGTTTGTGATGAGTGATGTTCCAGAAGAAGTTGTGCGTCCTCACATGTCGAGATTTGATCCCAGCATTTCATTTTCCAATGAGTGGCCCTCGGTGCTTCAACACACAACATGCAGATGATTTATACATAATCCAAGCGTTGGCAGGGCTCTTGGGTCATTTGACACGCCAGGCACAGTAGACCCCAACGTGCTTTCGATGGCACCAGAAGCAAGGCGGAAAGACATGGAAAGACATTCCATGGATCGATCAGGGTGCATCATCCATCCCTGATTGTTGGAGGAATTTACTGCACTCGCGAAGATGGCTCTTTTGGACCTTTTCAGTTGAACCAAGAAGCAGAGCATCAGGCAGCGAGAAGCTGAACAGCTGAACAGCTGAAGTTGTGCTGTCACCGTCACCCCCAACCTGAACGAACGGCTTCATGGGTGAATTCTTTCCGACGTTGACTCGGCTCAATGGCCATCCGTGTTGAGTCCATCCAGCTGCCCACGTGGTGTTCTGACCGATGTTTGGGATCAGAAGTGTGAAACGAAGGACGTGGGTTTTCCCTTGCTCCGTTCGTGGCGTCCTTGCTCCTAGTAGTACGGCCAGCCCCTAGTAGCGAACATTGTTCCTAGTAGCGATGCCAGCCCCTAGAAGCGTCCTTGCTCCTGGTGGGTTTACGGTTATTACTATGTTACCTCCCAATCTACCTGCACCTTCACCCCATCTCCGTCCTGCCAAACTTGGGTCTCGGCTCAAGCTGTCGCTGATCGTCGTCTCTGGGATTCGATCGTCCACCATGGCACACTTGAGACTTGAGAAGGACGGATGTCGCGAAAAGGAAAATGGAGTAGGGCCATTCTGCGGGTTTCTTAACGGTCAGGCCGCCAGGCCCTTTCACGATCAGATCACTCAAGTGGTCTTTCACTCCCTCAGCCAAATGAGGGTCTTTCGCAACAGAATCGCTCAGACCGAGATCTAGCTGCGGCCTTTGTGTGGCGGGCGGGAATTTCCGGTGTGATTGGGTGATGGGGTGGTTGGTCAGGGTGAGTGCCCAAAAAGGTTGAGCCCGTCCAACCGACCAAGAGTCAAGAGCTGGGATGGAGCTATATAGATGGGTTTGGATCTGTTTATTTGTTGAACTGGGCCTCCAAAAAGAGTTAAGATGTAGGGGGTTGGGTCTGCATGTAAGGAGATTTTCCGTCTGAAGGGCGAGTGAAGAAGCAACATGTGAGTCACATGTGTTACTCTTCAACGGTCGCATATACCACCCAAACTCAACCATGAGCTTCATCATTCGTACTACATACTAAATGATAGAGTACTTTTGGAAGCCTGGCTGTACAATGGATTCTCACACCGAAGGGACGACAGGCTTTGGAAGTCGCCTCATGGCGCAAAGCGAGCTTCGCCGCGCCGCCCCCCTGCGAGGAGCTTCTGAACCTGAGCGATGGCACGAGCATCCGCATCGCACGCACGCCGGGCATGGGCGACAAGGCCATCGACGTAGGGGGGGGGCCCTGCGGCGCGGCCCTGCGGCGCGGCCCTGCGGCGCGGCCCTGC